TTCATGACATGGCTGCAGCCTGTCGAGAGTAAAGATGATTTCACCATGTTCTCTATCTATCCATATCTATCTATATATCTATCTATCCATATCTATCTATCTATCTATCTATCTATCTATATATATATATATATATATATATATATATATATATATATATATATATATATATATATATATATATATATATATATATATATATATATATATATATATAAACTTGAGTCATGGAACTGTGCTTACAGCTCCTTATTTCATGTAAACTAATAACTTGTGTACATGATACTTGTTGATGGCATTAAAATTATTTCTAATAGCATTAAAAGAGCATTAAATTAGAGCTCCTCATTCCTGTATAAAACCTGTGAACGCTTAATTGAATCTGACATATTAAAAAAATCCCCATCATCATCCAGCAGATGTTCAGTTTCTGCCCAAATATTTTCTTTCTGTTGCCGATTTTTGTAACAGGGATAACTAGGATCATACATAGTTTGTATGAACTCTGTTTATTCTCTTCTTCCAAACTCATCATCTCTTCATCCATTCCTGCAATAAGAATTTTCTTTTAAAGTTGTGAGATTCACTCTAGAATCTCACAACTTCTTCCTGGTCTGTTGAAGCACCAATAGTCTGCATCCAATTATTTAATTAATTGCTCTTAGTTTTTGGGAATATATACAAACTATGCTCTAATTTCTAGATACCGATCTGTTTTTACTATAATTTAATTTGACAAACCGGGTCTTCTCTACATTCTTTTTTCTGTTTGGTGCGATTGCAATAGCGGGTCTTGATCTGGACGGACCGGAGGGGAGCAAAAAATAGCTCAGCTCCGTATTTTGACGGTGAAGGACGGAGAAGACGTACGTGGGCGGTGACGAGCGGAGGATGTGGAACAGCTCTCATTGATTTACATGACAGACAAGTACTCCGTACGTGAGCGGGGCGGAGCGCTGACGGAGTATGTGGAATCTGGGGGTAAAGGAGGACAAATACACGTCCGGCTGGGTGCAGCGCCGGACGCCGGACAGTGCAATGAAAATCCGGACTGTCCGCCCTAAAGCCGGACATCTGGCCACCCTAGTTTCCTCACTACTCACGGCCCAGGACATCTCTCCACAAGCAGCTTCAAAACACGCCGATCAACAGTTTTCTGGGCTGCATCCTCCAAGGACGCGATCTACCTAGACTGGATCCTTCGCAGTCCGTGAAAATAAGGAGACCGGAAGTGTTTTGGCTGTGAATCCGAACAGGTCTGCCTTTCGGCGGCTTTTACCGCCGTAGGCTCTGTTGCTTAGCGACCGTGAAAGTTGACACACAAAGCAGGAAAGAATGAATACCGAAGTTTTAAAAACTGTTTGTTTATTTATTTATTTATTATTATAAAGTGGACAAAGACTACACTCACAAGAATCCAGAGTGCAATAAAGGAGCCAACCACAAGGAGCAGGAAGAAATAAAATCAAATGTAATGATAGAAACCTTAGTCAGTTAAATAACATGCTGCTGTCATTTTGCACATCTCTGATGTTGCTGCTATTTTCAAATATCCATTACTGTAAAAATGTCCATAGCTGCATATTGGTTATTTATTCTCCAGCTTTATATTGTTAAAACATTTTACAGTATTTTATTGTTTATATTTTAACTCTTCCCTATTATGTTATTCTTATACATTTTTCTAAGGTCCACATTTGTGTGACAATTTTCAATAATCTTTCTTCTGCTCTAAATTTGCCCATTGTGGGACAATAAAGGGATTTTCTATTCTCATAAAAGGGGTAGAAATATATAAGTAAATCTAAACAATGTATGTATAAAAAATATATCTGAAAAATCTAGAGGTAAAAAATCTAGAGGTAGACCTGTTTGAATTCACAGCCAAAACTCTTCCGGTCTCCTTATTTTCAAGACTTCGAAGGATCCAGTCTAGGTAGACCGCGTCCTTGGAGGATGCAGCCCATGAATTTAAACAGAGCCTTTTTTACCTGAAAATCAAGAAAGTGTGGTTGGTTATTAAAATTAGTTAAAAACTGATTACTAGTTTTTCCCTTTTTTGTTTCAGCTACAACAGTAAAACATAACACAGGCCTTTAACTATGACTATTTATGTGTGTTTTTAAAAATCCTTTAACAGAATATTTTAATAAAGAAACATCTTGTTTTACCTTGATTGGAGGCATTTCCATGAATTTGGTTAATTGTAGATTATAATTCCTGCATATTATAATAACTTTACAATTATTATGCTCACCGAAAGTAGCTACTTTTACTTTCATTAAATGTTTCAATTAGAATATTTTTGTATTTTTTGCAGAACTCTTTTGTAACATGTAATCATATAATGTTTGAAATGCAACAAAAGCAGATCTTGTTTTTATGTATTTTGGCTTTAAATCTTCTAGCAAGAAGTCAAACAAACCATTATGGTGGTTGTTTCCAGCTTGCTTATGTTGATAAAGCAACCTACTGTTAAAAGCGTAATCCCCAGTATTACAGTTTTCATTCTAGAATGTGTTTAAACCGGTCTGTTAACATGTATTTTGTCTATATCTGTAGTTATATTGCCACATATTGTTATTTTGCCAGAGCCAGAGCTATATTTCCTTTTTTTGCCACCTGGGAAGTAGTGCATAGAACCTTTGATGGGAACATTAGGGGGAAATTGCAGAGGTGAGAGGAAAATGAGTAAATGGCTTCCTGTGTTTACTCAGAATGGAGAGTGAATCTAAAAGAATTAAAATGTTATACATGGATTTATCTATCAAATCTAACATGTAAAGCAAAAAAATAGTAGAATACTATTCTGGTTAAAACTGCTTTCTGTACTGTTAGTAAAACTTAACGGCACAGATCAACCTACTGCTTGAATATGTTTTGGGCATAATTCCTCATACCTGCTGTAAACTGGATTATGAGTTAGTAGTCCATTAGAACTACATGAAAGATTGTTTGTGGGGGGGAATGCAACATAATTATTGTATAAAATTAAAGTAAAGTAATAAATTCAGTCAATTTGGATGAACTTGGAAACTCCGAAAAAATCCATTATGGCCTCCCTGCCTACTAACATCTACTGATAGCTGGAGTGATGAGTTTTTTTTTATTTCTCTTTCTGTGTAAATAAGCATGTTTAAAACACAAAGCTGTTCCAGTCTGTAAGAAAAATGTTTTTTTTTTACAGTTGAGTTTGCTGTTAGTCTGGTTAGCCAGTCACTCAGTTAAACAATTAGCAAATAAGCCAAATTATAAAGCTGTTATTTGAGGGAATGGTACGTAGTTGTACTCAATTAAATTCAATTCAATTCAGTTTATTTATATAGAACCGATTCACAACACATGTCATCTCAAGGCACTTTACAGTTCACCAGATCATACAGTCAAATTCAGATTCAAAGTTTTCTACCTAAGGAAAACTAGTTGATTGCATCGACTCATTGACTCCAAGGCAATCCCTCACACTAAGCATGCTTGTAGCGACAGTGGAGAGGAAAAACTCCCGTTTAACAGGAAGAAACCTCCAGCAGAACCAGGCTCAGTGTGAGCGGCCATATGCCGAGGCCGACTGGGGTTCAAAGAGACAGAAGCAGAGATGCAAAAAGCAACTGTTAAAGGCGGCCCCATCCAGGAAATACACAACCAGGCAGATGAGCTCTGAGCCAGCTCCCTTGTGAGAGGACAAAGAGAGCACATCAAGCTAGTCACAGTCAGAGAAACAGGACTAAACTGGAAAAACAGGCTGATCTCCAACACATATAAACAAAGGTGTTGATGTCAGCAGCACAGCTGATATTTCTCTCCAGGATGGTGTCATGGCCAAAAACAGGAACAAACCAGATGAAGCTACTATGATGAGAAAAATCAGAGAGATCATAATGTTAGAGATTGAACTAACAGATTCTGCAGATTGGGAGAATAGAGATAGAATGAAACAGAATTATGAAATAGGGGTCCCTATGTCCTCCAGCAGTCTAAGCCTATAGCAGCATAACTATAGAGATAGCTCAGGATAACATGAGCCACTCTAACTATAAGCTTTATCAAAAAGGAAAGTTTTAAGCCTAGCCTTAAAAGTAGACAGGCTGTCTGCCTCACGGACTAAAACTAGTAGTTGGTTCCACAGGAGAGGAGCCTGATAACTAAAAGATCTGCCTCCCATTCTGCTTTTAGAAATTCTAGGAACTATTAGTAAACCTGCAGATTGAGAGTGAAGTGCTCTGTTAGGAACATAAGGAACAATCAGATCTCTGATATCAGATGGAGCTTGGACATTTAAGGCTTTATATGTGAGAAGGAGGATTTAAAATTCTATTCTGGATTTAACAGGAAGCCAATGAAGAGAAGCCAGACTAGGAGAGATATGATCTCTTTTTAATTTTCCTCAGAACTATGGCCACTCAAGCCATTGGAACAAAAAACCACAGAATCAGCTACTGTAATTACCCTTGTAAAATCCTTTTAGGATGGATACAAAGACCAAATGGGACATAAATTTGTATGTTATGCATAAAGAGCAAATTAATTAGAATAACTGATTAGCATTGGGCTTGGCATTTAATTTTTTTTTTTTATTTACGCTATTGCAGGATAAATATCCTGAGCAAATTTTACACAACAAGCCACAGTAGCCCTGCTTTGTATTAGTGTGATGTTTATTTCAAAATGTATTAAGCTTAAAAATACATTTTAAGCTTAATAAATTTTATGCTAGCTGGTTTTAGCATGGCTAACCAAACAGTTAATGGGAACTGAAGTCAAAACTACTCGAGTGTCTGTTAAAATCAAATATCGTGGGGAGATTGCGATTTAGTTTTTTACCAACTTTTAAAACTTTTTATGATAAAAGGAGGGAAATATTGTGCTTCTTGTCAAATGTTTCAGTTGAAAGAACATTGGGAAAGCTAGCTTATAATTGTAGAGTAAAAAGTGAACACAACATCCATGAAAGACAGAGAAAGTTTTATTTTAGTATCAAACAACACATAATAAATGAAAAAGTGCATAGTTTTTTATTTGATTAATATCACAGCCTTTAATTTAAAAAAATATGGATGCTAAAGTTATGTGCAACAATAATCGGTCCAATCCTTTTTATGAGAAAATTAGATCAAACTAACAAAGATTTCTCGTTTTAAACAACACACTTGTAACAATTCAACACAATTAATTTCTAAAGGCAAATTATGTAGCAATGAAAAAAACTGTTATCGATACACTTTAAACTTTTACAGAAAACTGTTTCATAATAGAATGTGAAGGAAGCAATAAATCAGAGTTGGCAAAATGTAAAGTGAATAAAAAAATTATAATTAGATTTTATGTGAGAGAAAATAATTTTCCCCACCACTTCTAGCAACTCATTTAGTACAGTAGATTTTGGACACTTTTAACTATTGTAGAACAGTAAGAAACAAAAACGTGAGCTGCTGTTCAAAGCTTTAGTTCTCTTCATTTTCCCTTTGTTTTCTTTTTCTTCGCAGGATACCATCATAAAAATAAATATTGCAACAGTAGATTGGTTTATCCACGGTTTCTCTTCATTAGATATCAAGTTAGGCGTACTTTTAGTCCTGATCTCCTGTAAACCACTTCTGGCCGTGACTGCAACCCGTTAGCTGATTGGTGCTCCCGTCGTAACCAGCTTGTAATAAGCTCCATTCATGGCCATGAGCTGGTCATGCGTCCCCTTCTCAACGACAAAGCCCCTGGACATGACAGCGATGATGTCAGAGTTCTGAATGGTGGATAGGCGATGAGCGATGACGATGCATGTCCGTCCCTCTCTGGCTTTGTCCAGGGCTTCTTGAACAGTCTGTAATTACCATCAAAACACACGCGTATAAATATAAATACATCGAAGTGTGTGAAATAGTGCTGACACACGCACTGCAGACGAAGGCATGATCTGATCTCCGACAAAGGAGACCAAACCATCACAAATTACAGCTATTTGACAATCACGTGTTGATTACTATCATTAGTATGTTCCAGTGGATCAGTGCACTGCAGAGGTCTCTTTGCCGCTCAGCATGGTTCAACCCTTTCAGATGGAAAAGCTACCCAAAAGGGCCACAGATAATGTTCGTCTAAGAGAGTCTCTACCAGAGGGTTGGGATGTACTGTAAGCAGCTTGAGATAATAATAGACATGATGAATGATAATGATGTTAACGATGATAATAATTAACAGCCTGTCCTCTTTGCTGGGGTGCCCAGAGAGCACTCAGCAGCTGCACTGTGTTGGGGGGAAAAAAGCCTTTCAGTTTACTGAAGTGTACCTTCTCGCTCTCCGTGTCCAAGGCGGAGGTTGCCTCATCCAGGAGCAGGATCTTGGGGTCACGTATGATTGCCCTGGCAATGGCGATGCGCTGTTTCTGACCACGAGACAGCTGAGAACCCTGAGAGCCCACGTTGGTGTTGTATTTCTGGAGAAGATTTACATTTTTCAAGACCCAGTCACACCTTGACGATTTAAACTGACATCTTCTTACCCATTGGCATACGCTGAACTTTCCATGTATTTTTTCAATTTTGGGCGTATATATTAGGAGTCCAGAACTTATGTCCAAAGACAGCCTAACTTATACATAACGCAGGGCAGCCTAATGCCCATGAAATGACACAAGCCAGTGTCCTGAGGGGGGCAGCGATGCACCCGCAGGCGCCCCACCTGCATAATTTCATCATAGTATTAATCTAGCTGCTGTTTACCGCCCACCAAAAAAAGGGAATAAATAAATCAATAATAAGAAAAAAGAAAAACAAAGAAAGAAGGTTTCCAGTCGCAGCAGATTCAGCATCATGTCTGGTAGGAAGTTTGTTGGTCGTGGGCGTGAACGCAGGGAGGATCCATCAAACTCACCTTCTCGCTCACCCTATGATGGGGATGAAGTCTGGAGGAGAACTGACAGTTTCCTCCTGAGAACCCCCATTTATACCAAAATGCTGCCAATACGCCATTTTACAGTAGCTGTACGTTCAGCGGTTGTCTGGAACATGTCAAACACGTTGACATGTATTAGAGATAAGTTCTCAATAAGTTATGCTTAACTTATGCCCAAGTTACTCATAGGTTTTGGATAAGCTAGACACCATTACTTGTGTGTAACTTATACTTAATGTATGTCACAATCAAATAACTTACCTGAAACTTATGCCCGAGGAATGAGCGTACTTCAACGTACTTGTTTCACGGTGTTCATAACTTATTCAAAACTGACCCATAACTTATCCAACGCATGCCAGCGTCATTGCCAGATATTTCGTACGTCAGGCATAAGCTGGCTAAATTGTTAAGGTGTGACAGGGGCATTATATTTTGCTGGGTAAACCTTTTCACCACTAGAACAGTCTGGGTTTGGATAAATTTGTTATACAACAGTAAAATGTTAATTGCAAACAAGTTTAGTCTGGATCTGGTTCAGGGTGTACCTTGCCTTATACCCAATGACCCATCATGGGTGGCTTAAGTTGCCACATAACTCAGTGTTAACAGAAGCAGATCCACACTTCCTGTTTGACACATTGAATATTGAACATCTGCTGTACCTCTGGGAGTGCCATAACAAAGTCATGAAGCTGGGCCTTCTTGGCAGCCGAGATGACTTCGTCCATGCTGATTTCTCGCGAGTTGTCTCCATACTTAATGTTCTCCGCAATGCTGCAGTCAAACAGCACAGGCTCTTGTGAAACAATGCCAATCTTGGAACGAAGGAAGGGCACGTTGACGCGAGTTGATTCATGCCCATCAATCAGCTGCAAGAATAAATGTATTTTGCCATTAGTGGAAAGTGGTCTAATAATCCCAGAGTGGAAATACAATCGGCATAATGAGCTATCATAGCACTATCTCTGCTGTAATTTTGCTCCTAAATGTCCAGAAATGATTTTGTCCTTTTTGAATATCTGGCTGACCATTAAGGCAATGTGATCTCAAACCATTTCCATCGCAGTTAAGACCATTTGATTCCTGGCAGAGATCCCTGCCTGGCAGAAAGACAACCCTCTGGTACAAGAACTACCCTTTTTAAAGAGGATGCACTCAGCATTTCTCACCAGATCAATAAAAGTAATGTCAAATACTTCCATCAGCACCTGCATTGTAAGTCTAGCAATTATTTCTTGAATATAAAAACATCAAGCGTTTCATTTCCAGTTATGATGTGCCTCATTATAGTGATTGTACATCACATTTAGCTAACTGAAAGTTCAATATCTGGCATTTCTCAAAAGGTCAGCATCAGCTGTGACAGTGTAATGGTAAAAGGAATTAAACCCATACTTCTTCTCTGCAAGGTTTGAGCTGGCATGTGACAAGCTTGGAGTTAAAGCTGTGAAATAGTTTGTATCATGTTGATTTTAGCATCATCATGAACTGAATGACCCTCAGTCCTCATTAAATGCACAACCCAAACTCCAGCTCCCAACTCAAACAGTACATGTTGCTGCAGACTTTATTGAACAAGTACAACACTGTCCCCAGAATAAAAATGACTTTGAATGTCTTGTAGCTTTTCTCACCACTTTGCCATGATCAGGATCATAGAACCGCTCTAGCAGCTGCACACTGGTGCTCTTCCCACAGCCACTGCTGCCCACGAAGGCCAATGTCTGTCCAGGCTTTACTGAAACATTTAAGCCATTCAGCACCTGGATGTCAGGTCTAGTGGGGTAAGTGAACTTGCAATCTATGAACTCAAGGTTCCCTTGGAAGTTATCCTAAAAAAAAAAAACATAAGATAGTGGGATAAAAGCAGAACACAAAGTTTGGATAAAATTATTTTACTTTTATTTTTTACTTCTTCCCATACCCATTTTTCTCCCCTGTTGCTGTAGACGCTGATGGTAGGCACACGGTCCAGCAGCTGGAAGAAACGTGCTGCTGATATCTTAGCCTTGGCATAATCCGGAGTGTAAGAGGAGGCTCTGCCTAAAGCGGTGCCGCTGGTGACGATCGCTGAGATCACCCTGAAACAGAGATAGGTTGTTATTTCTCTTTCATTGTTCCTCCTGGGAGACATTTTTCATAACTCTGTCGTCTGATCTTCAGCAACTTTTTATTTTTCATTACAGTCTCAGACTCCTAAAATGAAAAGCATTGTTTATGGTTTGTGACAAGAAATGTGGAATGCTTCATAGCTGATCTTTTTTTTTTCAAATTCAGTACCACATACATAAACATTTTTCATTTTAATTGTAATTGTATATACACAGTGATGTGCAGGGGGGAGAGGGCAATTGTTTTTGAAAGGTATGCTAAAGTGGCCTCTTGGGAGCCAAAACATGTGTTAAAGTGCCCTTTCTGTAACCCAAATGCATCTTCAGGTGCCCCCTTGGGAGCTAAGACGCGTATTAAGGTGCCCTCTCCTGAGCCAAAATGTGTATTAAAGTGCCTTTAATACACATTTGTAAGCCAAAAGGCATGTTAAAGGGCCCTCTTGAGAGCCAAACACATGCTTAAATGTCCTCTTGGTAGCCAAAACGCGTTTTAAAGAAACACATGGTAAAGAGCCACTTTGGGCATCAAAAAGCATTTAAAGGGCCCTCTTGGGAGCCAAAGCACATGATTAAGAGTCCCCTGGGGTGCCAAAACATGTGCTAAAGAGACCATTGTGTAGCCAAAACACATATTAAAGCACTCTGAGGAGCCAAAATGCATCCTAAAGTGCCCTCTACAGTTGTGACGATGCACTACCTGCACCTTTTGTTTCTTCCCACCCCTACCCTGTGCATGCCACCAAGTATACACATCTAAGTAAAGACACACTTGGGCTCATTTCCCTGCTAATAAACTTAGCGCTGGTTGTGCTTTACACCCTCTAAGCAGCTTTAAAGTAATATACAACATAAAAGCATATAATAGTGGGGGAGTGGTAGCCTTGTGCGTTGGAGCAGTCCGGTTGTGCAAGGTTGCAAGTACCCTGTTCAATCCCCACAGCCTGCACTCTGGGTCCCTGAGCAAGACCCTTGACGTCACACTGCTCCCTGGGGGCCACACAATGGCAGCCCACTGCTCCCCAAGGGGATGGGTCAAATGCAGAGAGTTAATTACCCCATTGTGGGGCAATAAAGGGATTTACATCTATCCCAAAGTTATGCACTACTTTGTGTCCATGTAACACACACAATTCTAATAGTGTGTGATGTTACAAGGGGCGTGAACATTTTTTAGATTGCCCTGTCTGTAAAGCTATATTAAGGAATAGAAAAAGAGTGGCAAGGCTTTGTATAGTGTTCCCACCTGAACACCAAGCTGAAATGGAGCCCCTCTTGTTCCACCAGGTAACCTCCAAACCTGAAGGACGCACCATTCGTCAAGAAGATCACACACTGGGCGAAACCATAACAAGCCCCGTACACGTTCGCCTTCTTCAAGGCCGCTTGATACGGAGCGGTCAAGTGAGCCTCATACGTTTCCACAAAGCTCCTCTCCTTCCCTAAGCCAGCAATGGTGCGAATATTGTTCAAGGCTTCCCCTGAAATCTGCAAACAAATGAGAAGAGTTGAGAGCGGAGATTTAAGCGGCAGACTGAGCACAGAACCTGTTTCTGATTCAGATTTCTGTTCAAATGTGACAGAGAGGAAGATCTAGATAAGACAGTAGCTCTATTCTTATCTGTATCTTCTTCTATTGCTGCTGCAATAAGCCAATTTTACCCCCACGGGGATCATTAAATTTTCATCTAATCCACTTTTCTTGGATGGGTGGCGTTCACTGCATTGCTATAATTAACATGGCACAAAGAAAGTTCACAGTAAATTGACTTCTGAACACTTTTCATTTTGAACTTGCTTTTGTTGTGTTGTCCCTTTCCTCTGTTTTTTGTCTCTGCTCTGCCCTTTAGGTACATTATGCTTTAAGCTTCAGAAGCCTAAGTGTTTTACCCAAATCACAGAAGCGACCGAGAAACGTCTTTCCTGCCCAAAACTGAGAGAAATCTATTTATTTTTATGAAGAGGCTCAAACTTTGAGCTTAAAATAGACACTGCTGTCAGGTCTTCTCTTGTCAGCTGTCGAAAGGTAAGACAGCAGATATCACCCAACACCTTTATGGGTACCAAGATTACTGTGATGTGACTTCCTGACTTGTCATTCGATATCTGTATGAATCCATTTTCAGACTGTCCACTGAGTTCTAGTTACATGTAGACATATGTTCTGTATGTTTTTTCTGACCTGCCCAGCAGATTCCATGGCCTGCTTGTCCTGCTTGGCGAAACCTGTGAGCATCTTGGCCTGAAAGCCACCTGAGAGAGCGATGAACGGCAGGAAGCAGAGGATGAGGAGTGTGAGCTTCCAGCTGAAGTAGAAGGACATGATGAGGGCCACGCCGATGTTGGTCAGAGAGTTGACGATCATACCAATCTGGGAGCCTGTAGCCTGCGGAGGAAATTAAAAAGATCATCAGGTCGCTAAACGTATCCCCTAAGCATGATCCTTCCACCACCATGTTTAACCATCAGGATGCTTTGTTCTTCTGGTTTTGGTCTCTATAGCTCTGTTTGTATTAAGCAAACATTAGTATTAGTATTTAATTAATACCAATTTCATGTTTCATGGTGGGATAGGTTTTTATATTTTTTGTTATTTTTTAGGATCTAATCAGTATCTCTTCTAGGATTTCCCACTTCCTTCTTCCCACCAACTCTGACCAACCTCCCTCATCACAATGCTGCCACCACCATGTTTCACAATGATTAGTTTTTCTCCTTTCATATTGGTTAAAATTTAAAAGATCAATGGGAAAAGGACCTGGAGTCACAAATTACATTTAATCTCTCTTAGAGCAAAATATTGTCACTGGTTAGCCTGCTAGAAAACCCCACAGGTTTAATAATGCAGCTTTACAAAGTAAGACAGATGGGATATTTGTTTTATCAGTTACACAACCAAAAGCTGAACGAGTCCCTGACATTCTTTATTACTATTGAGGCTTTAACTCTCACCCCTTGCACTTGCGAAGCATCAGTTGCCAGACGAGTGGTGAGCGCCCCAGGGCTGTTCCTGTGATCATCAAACCAACCAATTTCTTGCCCAAGCATGGCTTTGAAACCGATTCGCCTTAACCTGCGGGTCAGCAGCTCTCCAGACTTGGCAAAGGCATAACCCTGCAGACACATGGAGAAAGGAACCTTTTATTAAATCTAAAACACCCTCACATCATCAGACGGTTATATGCCTAATCTGATTCATAAATTCCCGAGACTCAATACCCGATCTGAAGGAGAAAAGATAAAAAATTTCTTTATTTGATAAAGGTATTCATTTCTCAACCTGGAAGGTTCCCCTGTGACTGTCTTTGCTACTTTGATGAAAGGAGAGAATGAAAGCAGTAGAAAGCGTTACAGCAATCAGTCATGTCAAAGCTAACTGCTGTGCTACCTGCAGCATCTGGGTGAAGAAAGAGACGACTCCAACAATAACAAAGAACACACAGATTCCATCAATCTCTTTCCTTTGAGCCTCAGGGTCTGTCACAGCAAACGTCTGCAACACACAGAGTAAACATGCAGAAAAAACAGTATTAATTTGAACCATCACGCATGGATATGTGATTTTTCACATTGCAATCTATTATATCGTTTTGTTTTTTTTTAGGCCAATAATGTAGAGCTTAATAGTGAAGTAGATGAAAAATGATTCATTTTTATTTGGCTCACTGAATACTTTATAGATCTACTTAACATTTAATGTATTGCTCATCTTGAGAATGAAACTTTTTCCCACAATTCTTAGCAAAGGAGCTCAAGCTCTGTGACTTTGACATGAATAATATTTAGCTGTGTTCCCGCATCTTTTGCAACCTCTATCAGGTTTCCTTAAAGCTCTGCAAGTAGCTCCATCCTTCTTTCTGCCAAATCTAATCTTTTCCTCGAACCTCTGCCAAAATAAAGCAACCCCATAGCATGATGCTAACACCACCATGTTTCCCTGTGGAGCTTGCCTATGATGATGTCATTTGCTGCAATGTACTATAAATATTTTTAACGTAAGTCGAAGTATCAAAACAACAAATATGAACTTCATTTACAAACATCAGAAGGCAATTGTTGAACCCCATTTTAGGCAAGAGTAACAGAGTAACATCTACTTTCTGTCTGTAACATAAAATTCCCTCCAAAACACTCATAAATCCAGGTTTTTTAATAAATATGTGATTACAGTGTTACTTAGGAAATTGTCCAGAGATTAGTTGGAAATCCCTCAGATCATACCGCCAAGATTTGACTGAACAGCAGTGCATAAACTGGGTTAACTCCTCCATTAACTGCAGCCCCAAGAGATCCAAAAAGCATGTAAGGCCACTCAGGCGCGTTGTACTTCAGAATCCTGGCAACTGGAGCAGGTTCTACAAGTTCATCGTCATCCTCTTCTGGTATGGCTTTCTGTGGATATGCAGTAAAAGGGTTATTAAAACAACTGTGCTTTCTCTCTATGGATGGATGAAAAACTATAAAAAGATTTAAAAAATGGTGCAGATAGATTGCAACATACCTTAACTTGATCTTCTTGGGGCATTGCGAAGGCTCTGGGTGCGAGATCTCCAGCAATGGGTACTGAGGATTCTGGGACCAGGTTGGAAAGCTGGGATCGAGACCTCTGGCGGATTGAGGCTCTGTTCAAAGGAAAAAGAGTTTCTGAACATCCTCTGCTTATTGTTTATATAACTATTCAGGTCTAATGTTAATACTCCACATTGTTGATGTAATTTAACTTATTCACAGGAGCCTTCAAGCCTCTCTCTTCTCACCACATTACATTAGCAGCTCTAGATACAGAATCTAAATGTCGAAGTAAATGTAAAAGGTAATTAAATAAATTACAGTGCAGGTGACTCCTGTATTACAGACAATTTTAGCTATAAATAGACAGCAGGAGTAATCCGTTTTAGATGCACATTCAGAGCTTAGTAAATGGTGTTGCCAAAGTGGGTGAAAAGGCAATTAATGAAGATATGGGTTCCGAAAATACCTTAAACTGGCACGATAGCTGCCCGCTCTGGCGAGATTTAACCGCTCTGGCTCCTGTTCTTCTTCATCAGCCACTGATGCATGACAGATAAAAGGAAAATGGTGGACATATTTAATACATTAATAGCAATAAGAACTCAGTTCGTGTGCTGCGTGTAAATTTCCTTGGTTTTAATGCATGTAATTTGAGACCAATTTAATATTTTCTCTACTGATTATCTTGTGATGAAGAGCAGCGACCATCAGGGTGAGAACTGGTTGTGAGAAGAGGCAGAACTAGCACTATTATGGGAGCGGCCACAGACCTTTACTGTCATTATGAAACCAGTATGAAGGTGTTTAAATAATGTATGATTGACACAGAGTCCGACCAAGAAGACCCTCAACCATCAAAGTTTATTTTGTCCTTCCAACTTTCCATACAAGAAACCTATCAGCAGGTGTACATATGAAAACAAATTTTGACGTTTCTGTCACGGTCTTGGTTCGGTTTAAGTTTTCTTTTGATTATTTAGTTCCACTTTTATCCATGTTTTTCTTTGTTTTATTGGTTTAATTCCTATTTTGTGGTTTCTGGATATATTTGGGTTCTTAGGTTTTTCTTGGTTGCCCTCTGTTGCCCACTTGTGTTGGTCTCCTTTTGCCTAGCTTCCTTCTAGAAGCCTCTGTTCACACCTGCTCCCAATCAGCTCATTAGTCCTGTCTTTGTTCAGTCTCCCATATAGACTCCCCTGTGCAGTTCCTCAGTGTTGGTTCCTCGTCTTTTCCTGGCTCCCCAAGTGAGTTTTCCCATGAAGTTGTGTTTTTTGGTTATTTTTTACTTTAGTTTTTGGATTTTTGCCTCAGTTATTTTATTAAATCTTCAAGAACACACCTCTGCGTCCTCACCTCTGCATTTGGGTCCTCAAAACCTCAACCCAACCCTGAACAAACAAGACTTCAATCAAAGACCTGGTCTTCTACAGTGATACAACTCCAAATGGAATAAAGACGTCCACAGATATGTTGCCATGCTTGTCGATCAAGTGCCAACAGATTAGCTGTGTTTTATAATTTACACTACCGGCCAAGTGAAAGAGAAAGTTTCATGAGCAAAGCATCTTTATAAGAATGGATACCTCAAAAAATCTGACAAACAAACCAGGAAAGAAGGCCTTCAAACACAAAGCCTGTAACTGATGAAAGAATGGCTGTGTTCAGGGCTCTATTTTTGTGTTTTTATTTTAAGGTATATTTTTACTGCAGATAAAAATCTGAGTCAGCTGTAGTTATGATCTGGTGGAGATTTACAGTTAAAGAACAATTCTTGTCTCCACCACTTAGAAAAATGCTCTCACTAAATGTAGCTTAGGTGGAAGTTCAACTGAAGAAGATGATTGCTCGCCTTCATCTGCCTACGACACAGCCAATCAGCTTTGAACCACACCACCACGAAAGCTATTCAACATCCAGAATTCATCATAAAAGGCCTCCAATCAGCAACTCGTCTGCTACCTAATCCGCAGGTGGTGGTTGCACTGTGTGACTTTATTCAGATGACCCTGCTTCAACCCACCTCCAGCCCCTCCTCCACCTTTCGTAGCTAAAGCTTCATCAGAGTGTCATTCCTCCCAGACTCTTTCTGCATTCCGCATCTCGTTTCAACTGGTCCGGCAGAAGACCGCCATGTTGAGCCTGGTTCTGCCAGAGGTTTCTTCCCAATGGGGAGTTTTTCCTCTCCACTGTCGCTTCATGCTTGCTCATCATGGACAGGTTCTCTCAACCTGTGTTATCCAAACTGGACTTCCATCTTCCAGGCCCTGAGTGAAGCTCTAGTATTAGCTGAAGCAGTCCACTGGATCTCCCCATATAGCTCAGCAGACCGTCTCGCTAACCAGCAGTCTACAGACTGACCGACTTCATCTATCTCATCTCCACCACCAGTTTCTGGCCTGGGGGGGGAACAGCCCTGTTCTTTACCCCTGTTCATGCATATCTATCAAAATTCAGCGCTATGTTTCCTGCTGAGGTCTGAGCGCCAAAGACCAAGTAATTGTATCAATACATTTCTTCTAATTGTCTTTTTTCTTTGTGTGAATTTTTCAGATTGAAATGGTTGGTATAGGGAAGTATTCAGTGGATCAGACACTTGGATCTTGTATTTTTTTAAATGTATTGACACCATAGTGGAGAATTAATTGACAAAGGACTGGACACTTCAGAACAAATAATCAAAGTAAATATAGCTGAAATCAGCTTCCTCCATTGGGTAGATGGATTTACCACTACTTTAAGAGAGTTAGGAGTAGAGTGGCTGCTCGTCAGGAACAAGAGGGGTCAATTAACCTGGGTCAGCCATGCAATCAGGACTCCTCTATGTAATATCGAATAGTGTGGAGACCCTATGGCAGACTTAGATTAAGCTAATTGAATAATTTCTCTTCTGCCCAGAATGAGCAAAAGTGTGTGGCTGAGGAGAGTGATGTCTGGGTATCTAGTCTGGATATGACTTTGTCTTAGATAAATAGAAGATGATGAATCAATGAATGAGTCAGGATCCCTGCTTTCATTGTTTTCTTTACAGTTCGACACCAAGATGCACTTTGGGGGAAAAATTAAGCCAACTACTGAGGTTTTGTGCTTTGGGCAAAGTTTTGCTTGAAAATCCTTGGTCTTGAATTTAATGTGGATTACTGTGACACTTGTGATGTAAGTTACTAATCAAGCTCTTGTCTATATGCAAAAAGATGTTTTCTGATGGCATCAGCATCAAATTAAAGGAAAATGAATCTGTGCATTCAGAAAAAGACAATAATGTGAAGAGGAATGCTGCAGATTTAAATACTAATCTGTAAACTCTACCTCACAATTAGAGACTTTAAGAATCCTAACCCTTATTCAGGCACTTTGGTGCCAAATAGTTTCTAATTCCCATGACTCAATTGGTCTGGAAAGGTTTGGTCTCATGAGGGAAACTCTATGTCTGATACTCCACTAATATGGGAGGGAATTACGTTAAATGCTATACTTACTTTGCCTGGCTTTCTCATTCAAAGCCTTGTCTCCTTGGCTCTGCAGGGTTACCAGAGTGAAGTATACCCCCTTCCTCTCCAACAGTTCGTTGTGTTTGCCCCTCTCCACTGCCCGGCCATGTTCGAAACCAACTATCACGTCTGCGTTCTTAATGGTGGACAGTCGGTGAGCAATTGAGATGGTGGTGCGTCCCATGCGTACCTGTAAGGAAGATCAAAACGTCACCTAACCTGGCCACATGACACAGAACTTATTGCATTATGACACGATTAAGCAAATATCTCACACACTTTATCCAAAGCTTCCTGGACAATAGCTTCACTTTCATTGTCCAGAGCAGAGGTCGCCATGTCCAGCAGTAAGATGCGTGGGTTCCTGACCAGCGCACGAGCAATAGCTATCCTCTGTTTCTGCCCACCGCTCATCTGGCCCCCACCTTCCCCTACCAAAGTGTCAAATTTCTGCAGGATTTTAAAACAGAAAAGAAAATTATACTTTTTAGATTTGAAGTTAAACCACGTTTCACTCGTTCTTCTTATTTCTGCGCCTCCTTCACCTGTGGAAGGTCCATAATGAAGTTGTATGCGTTGGCCTCCTTCGCAGCAGTGATGATGTCCTCCATAGAGACCCCGGGTCGACCATAGCGTATGTTCTCTGCAATGGTGGTGGCAAACAGTACAGGTTCCTGCTCCACGATGCCAATCAGAGAGCGCAGCCATTGGATGTTCAGGCCTCTGATGTCATGACCGTCCAGTGTCACCTGAGATGGAGGCCACAGTGAACTGGAGCTGACGCTAAACTTGATGGATGATGCTTTTAAAGCACTGTACCACATAAATGTTCACTTTTTTTCTAGTAACAAGTAGTTTGGAATGAAAAAAAGGTTGTCTGTCTTTTTGGACAACCTTCAGAAAGCAATATGTCTTTCCTGAAAGGCTAAAAAAGGGACTGGAAATTGTGTGAGGATCTGTAATTCCGGTAAAAATGAAAAATTAGGCTTTTAGGAACCATTAACTGAATAATGAAACAGATTATCATGTACCTCTCTTGCCCACGGGGGACGGTTATTTTTGAGAGCTGAAAGGGAGAGAGGAGTGTGTGGAGGAAACTTCAATCTCAGGAGAAACGATAGTAGCAGCGACAGAGAAACCAGCTCACTGTGGTGTTCTGAGCGTGGCGCTTACCATCCCTACTTTAGGGTCGTAGAAACGCTGAATGAGTTGAATGGCAGTGCTCTTCCCTGCTCCGCTCGGCCCCACAAAGGCGGTGGTCTCACCCGACTTCACAGCGACGTTGAGCTGGTCCAGGATCTGATTACACACAGGTCATTGCTTCACATGAGAGATATAATTATACCTAATTCCCCTTATATATATATATATATATATATATATATATATATATATATATATATATATATATATATATATATATATATATATATTGTGCAAATTTTTAAAATTTACAGAATAGATGTTAAGTAGGCAGTGAGGGTTGTTGGCCCATATGGGCAGTTGCCCAGGGTGGCATTATTAGGGAGCAGAGCATGGGTGGGATCATGCATGGTGCAGATATGTTGGTTTGGGGAGCCACTAAATTTAACTTGATCTTTTTTAAGTGGCTGATAATCTGAATGATGCAACATTTGAAAATTTCTAATGGAAAAAAAAATGAATCCAGGCCAGTAAAAATGTTTAGAAAAAATTTGCTTTTTTTTCCTCCAATTGGCTTTTTTTTTTTACTTTTGTTGAGTTGGAGTTGGCTTGTGTGCTCCTCTGAAAATTATAGAAAATAAATCTTCAAATCTTTTAAGCAGTACTTCACCTTAACTTCAGGCCTGGATGGATAGTGGAAGGTCACGTTGTGAAATTCAATATCTCCTTTCACCCTGTCCAGCTTATATCCAGCCTCTGATAAACAGTCAATCTCTGGCTCCTTGGGTAACAAATTGCAGAAACATAACATTTATGATAAGGTAACTAATCAAAAACATGAAGTTTCAATAGGAAAGTCTAAAGCGTGACACATTCCTACCCTGTCAATAGTCTCAAATATTATGGTTGCGGCTCCACGGCCGGATGCAAATGACTCCAAACAAGGGGAGGCTTGTCCCAAATTCATGGCTGCAATCAGCACCCCGAAAAACACCTGAAATATAACAGTAAGTTTTTGTAGGATAATTAAATCACAGGGCTGCATTCCATCAATACCAATTGAATACCTGCAGTAGTGTTCCCGGAGTGTACTCCCCTGTGTCTATGACAAGAGTAGAGCCGTACCAGAAGGCCAGTGCATAGCACAGGAAGATGATCAGCCACATGTATCCGGTGAAAAAACCCATGATCATACCCTTCCTGATCCCCCATCGCTGAGCCGAGATCAAGTTCTTGTCATACCTTGAAATAATTGTATACAAGTCCAAATGTAATCATGTGGAAAATAATGAGCACACTGGAAAAAAACGAAATCTAGATTAGTAATTTTTTTCTTAAAATAAGTGGATTTGTCCTTGAATTGAGGAGGTAAAAGAGGCATTTTGCCAATGGAACAAGACATTTTACACTTAAAATAAGAAAACACAATTCCATTGTCTTATTGCAAGTATATATTATCTAATTATCTTATTTTAAGAGTAAAAGTGGAAAACTATCTGATTTACCTACTCAAATTAAGGGTAAATACAGTTAATTTAAGAAAGTTGTACTTATTTCTAGATTGTTTTTCCAGTGCACTCTTTGGTAAAATATACAGCCTTGCATAATCAATACCTTTCTACTTCCTTGTTCTCTCCTCCAAAAGCAGCTACAGTTCTGATGGCGGAGAGGACCTCGTCAGCCACAGCTCCAGCTGTCGCGTAGGCCTGCAGCTCCATTCCTGTCAGTTTAGCCACGAACTGCACATCAGAGAAACATGAAAGGATGACTGAGATGGGCTGAAGCTTGTGTCAAATATTTGACATTAGATAAATATTCTCTCTTGAGTCTAAATGTCTTTTTTTACCAAAGCCATGAGACCTGCTCCAATCCCAATCAGTGGACTGACAGCGATGATGACGAGCGTCAGCTTCCACCCTTTGACAAACCCGACGCAGAAACCACATACAAACGTGGTGAAGCGCTGGATAAATATGGCCACCTGGTCCGCAATGGCGTCATTGATCTTGTTTATGTCACTGTAACACATACATGAGCGCTGTAAGTCCCACTCTCAGTCTAAGAGACAGTCTGTAAGTCTGAAGTAATGCCATCCCTTCTTAACTCACTCTGACATGCGAGTGTTGAGCTCCCCCACAGAGGTGCAGTCAAACCAGCCGATCTCCATCCTCATCACTTTGCTGAAGTACATTTTTCTGATGAGCTGAATCTGCCTGGCAGCGGCTGTCACCCACAGAGAGATCTGACAAAGGGAAGAGGAAGGTTACACTTCAGTCATCTTTAGATATAAAGCGAGCGGTGAAAGGGTAGTATCAGATGACATTTTCCATTATGGAAGGATTACACACATTTTATAATAATATATCTAAAAGACGCCTTCTTCAGGATTCTATACTGAGGATCAGCGGCGTTTGTGCATAAAAGGAAAGCTGCTACCAAGTAACATATGGTTTCCATGATTTAAAAAAACAGTTTTACATGCTTAGAATTTTGCCATTTTCACTCCGACACCCTCAAATAAAATGTAGTCCAATCAAATACATTCAGAGGTCTGATACTAAGTCTACCAGAGAATCAGAAAAGAACATGGTGACTCTGAATTTTTCAAGAGACCAAATCCACAGATATTGACTTAATGGCTTTCTGCACGGTGGTGTAGTTTGTAGCATTGTTGCCTTTCAGCAAGATGGGTTTGAAACCCATACTAGGACCTTTCTGTATGTAGTTTACATGTTCTCCTCATGCATGTTAGGATTCTTACAGGGTACTGCAGCATGATAAGCTGTTCAGGAAGGCCAGCTCTGTGATTGGATGCCCTCTAGACTCAGTGCAGGATGGGGGCAAACAAAAGGATCTGTTAAATGTGGAAGTTATGTCCCCTTGAAGGCAGTTGCGCCTCAGGACTTCCCTTCCGGTTCTTTTCCTGGGAGCAAGTTATTTACTACTCTTAACTCAAACTGGGTAAAACCATATAAAAAAAGGACTATAAAAAACAGAAGTAAAATAGTAACAGAGTTTATTCCAGATCAGGTCATTACAGGGCAGAGAAAATGCTTGGAGCTTGTACAGCTGTGGGCTCAAAAAAGGTCAGCAAAGATTGAGCCCCGAACAAGGTCATCTCCTGCTTCTTATACCTCATGGGTCTATGTGTTGCATCAAGTGGATGCTTAGCTGTCCGTATTGGAAACTGACACGCCATCCATGCCCTGACCTGTATGCATCTTGCCTCTATGCCCAAGAATTATAGATAGCTTCCCTTTATCAGTCCGGCTCCAAGATGTGCCCATATCCTGTGTATCTTTAAAGGACAAGAAGGCTGTCCTATTTAGATGACCTCCTTACACACAGTGACATCCACAATGTGAAGGAAGGCCTTCTGCTCTCTCTAATCTGGCCCAAAAGTAACAATGCACATGATGTATAAAGAATAAACCTAAAAGATCCTAAATAGATAAACATCTCTGTTTGATGATGTTTCTCACCCCATGCATGAAACTGTTGCAGAACTGAAGAGCTCCTTCAGTGACAGCCTGCTGCACCTTAAATGCACCAGGGAGCATTATCACAGATCCTTCCTCCCAGCAGCTGTAAGACTTTATAACCACCACTGTTTCCAACAACCTCAATAAGTTGTTACAATCATGCTGATTTCACAGAGTTTCTACCTTAGTCAGTTAAATAACATGCTGCTGTCATTTTGCACATCTCTCATGTTGCTGCTATTTTCAAATATCCATTACTGTAAAAATACCCATAGCTGGATATTGGTTATTTATTCTCCTTTTGGACAGTTTTATATTGTGAAAACACTTTACAGTACAGTATTTTTAACTCTTCACTAGCATATTATTCTTATACATATTTTTAGGGTCCACATTTGAGTGACATTTTTTTTCTATAATCTTTTTGCTGCTGTAAACACCAGTAGTGGGACAATAAAGTGGGACAATAAAGTGATTTCCTATTTTATTCTATTCTATTCTATTCTATTCTATTCTATTCTATTCTATTCTATTCTATTCTATTCTATTCTGGCTTCCTCTCACAATCCAAAAGCATGACTAATATTGATAGACCAGAAGGAGGAATGGATTGACTTAATGGAAGAAAACCTAAAGCACATTTTTGGTAGCCTCGTGAGACCATCCTGATCTTGCGAGCTTTCAAAATTTCACTCGCAAATCAGTCTGGAGACTCTCCGTTGAAGAACATTTGAAGCCGTTCACCAAATGAACGTCCAATCAGCGTTGGCTTTGAGGCGGGTTGAGGTGTGACGCAATGAGAAGCGTGACAGTTCAGTCTAAAGAACATGGCGGCTTCAGCCGATGAAACTAGCGTTAGCGTGGCTATCGAGCAAGTTTTATTGGAATTACAGAGTATTTCTTCACTGAAAGAAGAGCAAAACACTGCTCTGGAGGCTTTTCTCAGAGGAAAAGATGTTTTTGCTCTTCTCCCGACTGGTTTCGGCAAGAGTAGCCTGGCTTGTGGTTGTGTTTTCGTCGTGGCTCTGTTAGTACGTCATATGCTTTGTTGATCTGATTGGTGCATTTGGCCCGTCTATCACCAACATAGGCCAATCAGCTAACCAGTATTTTCGCCCCTTCCCAAAATTACTTAAACGGAAGGTTTCCAGATGGATATGCTGAGCAAATCCATCTGGCGGAGTCAGGTTACATTTTTGGTGCCAAGTTGATAGAAAACTAACATCGCCCTCAACCTGTGCATGGTCAAACATGGAGGTGACAGTATTCGCTGGAGTTGATGGACAGATGATGCAGCCAAATACAGGGCAGTCATTTTACTGGCAGCACAACTGCCTTAGTTGGAAATTTATTTTGATTGATGTGTAAGTCTGTTAAAGCATAGTAATACCTGTCTGTTGCATGTCAGAATTAATGTTTTCTCAAGTATTCCTGTCCAGCTATACAGTTATCATCTTCATTGTGTATGTGGCAGTGGCGCCATCAGGGGGTTGGCCAGGGGTGGCCATCGCCAGGGTAAATTATAGTTGCTTCAGTTTAGCATTTCACCCCGTTATGCACAACCAGCGACGTAACATAAAAAAAAAATCACACAATAAACTAAAATATGAATAGGTGTTTACTTAAGTCTTTATGATTTTTACAGGCAGGTTTACCACAATAGTAGATTCAGACCCTGAAATTATTGCTTTAAGTTTGTGTGGCCCCATCTGGTCCCCCCTTTGAAGCAGGAGGCGCCACTGGTACGGCAAAGATTTGGGAATAGAATGAGAGCTATGCCCTTAATCTAAAAACAAAGTGTAATATTTTAATAAGGCAGGAGCCATGGATGTCTCCTCATCTGCAAACGTGTATGATGTAATGATGTGAATGATGTAATGATGTGAATGATGTAATGATGTGAATGATGCGATGATGTGGCAGACTGGAGTTGTATAAAAATGTTCTTTAACTCTGAATCGAGGCTACTTCAAAGAGATGTGAGCCTGGCTGGTAAGCTGCTGCATTCTGAAAAATAAAGCAACTTCTCTGGTCTGACTAACATTACAATTTATGTCTAAATATGTTGTCATGTCTCATGTTTATTTACATTATGAAGCGTTATTTAAGGAGTTTGTTCTGAGTGATCTCTTCTCTGGAAAAGAACCGGAGAGAGAAAACCTCAAGGTGTAAATACAGAGCTTTCCTTTCCTTTAAGTAAAAATAGATCAATATCTAAATGTATGGTGTTGCAGATAGGTAGTTACCCCCTTCAGCTGTTGCAAAATCAAATTCACAACATACATGTTACACATCTGATGTCTGTTAAAGGTTAAATGATTGATTCCATCAATAGATTTCTAGATGACTTGTCTTGTTTTAATTTTAGGATTAAGGGAAGAAAACATTGTGATCATTTCAAGACTAACCTGAACGTATCCGAGTATGAATACAGACAATCCTATCCCAACATAATAGAAGGCAAACATGGTCATTTCGTGTTCGATGTCAAGAAGCCTGAAAATCAGCAAGCGAGGCGGTTAATAAAACATACAGAAAAAAATTTAATGCATATCTGGATCTTTTTTAGTAACATCTTCATGGTAGATTTACAGCATCAAACATCTTTTCTCCTCCATATTTAAAGCCCACTTACCCACACGACATGTTTCCCAGTGGAGTGAACATCTCTAATGTGGAGTTGATAAGACCCAGGTCCGACAGGTTCAGAGGCAGACTCAGGTCTGCTGCTGCGCTGTAGTTCCTCTTCCACTGGATGGTGTTGTTCACGCACTCCTTCCTGTCGTCGTTCAGCTCGGTGAGTTCGATGTCGTACTCGATGAAGGTGTCGGTGAGCATGCCGAACACCAGCAACATGAGGGGCTGGGCCGAGCCATGCAGCACTGCACACAGGCTGCCCACCACCATCATCACAACATCTTTGCAGGTGGAAAAGCGGAACTGGGAAGTAATAATTGGGTATTAGGAGAAGAAACCTCAGAGATTAAAGAAACAAAAAAAAGTGGATTTTTACCAGCTGGAAGAAGCTGACTCTAATAGCAGGTTGGTCTTGGTTTCCTTGAGCTCTGTGTGAAAAGAGGAGGTCAACCATTTTTACATGTTAGTTGAATGCAGTTAGATATCCAGAACATCTCCATTTGGTACTCACTTCTCCGTGTTCTTAGAATTAGTCATGGACCTGGAAGGAACAAAGCAGAACAGTGAGTCGTTGCCTCCAGGAAACCCTTGTGAAACTATGGCACAATGAAGACTTAATATAAAATCCCTTCTGTTCTCATTATGCAAACAGTTAACAACAAGATGTTCTTTTAAAATGTTAGCTGGAAATCACTCAGCAGTGTTACACAAACCACAATATTTTCCCATGTCTTTGCCACAAGCAGAGGTGCCAACTTTTATGTACTACGCATGCATTAAAGCAAGTGAGAGGTTTCAGTCTCCAAATACAATGAGTAAAGATAATCTGCATGTCCGGCTGTGTAGATTAAAGCAATAACAAGCTGAAAATCTATCAGATATAATTTACTACAAGCTATAAATACAAATCAAGCCAATTGGCTCAATGCTTTTATGCATCTAGTCTACTAGTGTTGGAATTGGATGGAAAAGGGATTTGAGTGAATCTGACAGTTGCATGTCTGTTGTGGCCAGATGGTGTGCTATTTGCACAACACATTTAGATCAGCAGATGGGCAGCGGCAGCAGAGAACCACGCTACATGCCACTCATGTCAGCTCAGGGCAGGAATCAGAATCACTGCAGAGTGTCTCTTTAAATGTCAGTTTGCAAAAATCTCAGCATATTGAGGTCTACACGCCTTTCTATTTCATGTATGTGTTTTGACCTGATCTGCGTTGCAGCTCTTGCGCCGTGTTGAGGGTTGTTGTCCCGTTTTTTTCTACAAGAGCTTGGATTTTTCTGTATTTGGCGCTGTTAAAATTTCCTTCTCAAAACAGTTTTCCTGCCTCTTCTGAAAACAAAGCATCCCCATAACATAATGCTGCCACTACCCTGCTTCAAAGTGAGGAGGGTACGTTCAAGGTGTCATACACTATATTGCCAAAAGTATTTGCTCACCCATCCAAATTATTGGAATCAGGTGTTCCAATCACTTCCATGGCCACAGGTGTATAAATTCAAGCACCTAGGCATGCAGACTGTTTTTACAAACATTTGTGAAAGAATGGGTCGCTCTCAGGAGCTCAGTGAATTCCAGCGTGGAACTGTGATAGGATGCCACCTGTGCAACAAATCCAGTCGTGAAATTTCCTCGCTCCTAAATATTCCACAGTCAACTGTCAGCTGTATTAAAAGAAAATGGAAGTGTTTGGGAACGACAGCAACTCAGCCACGAAGTGGTAGGCCACGTAAACTGACGGAGCGGGGTCAGCGGATGCTGACGCGCATAGTGCGAAGAGGTCGCCAACTTTCTGCAGAGTCAATCACTACAGACCTCCAAACTTCATGTGGCCTTCAGATTAGCTCAAGAACAGTGCGCAGAGAGCTTCATGGAATGGGTTTCCATGGTCGAGCAGCTGCATCCAAGCCATACATCACCAAGTGCAATGCAAAGCGTCGGATGCGGTGGTGTAAAGCACGCCGCCACTGGACTCTAGAGCAGTGGAGACGCGTTCTCTGGAGTGACGAATCGCGCTTCTCCATCTGGCAATCTGATGGACGGGTCTGGGTTTGGCGGTTGCCAGGAGAACGGTACTTGTCTGACTGCATTGTGCCAAGTGTAAAGTTTGGTGGAGGGGGGATTATGGTGTGGGGTTGTTTTTCAGGAGCTGGGCTTGGCCCCTTAGTTCCAGTGAAAGGAACTCTGAATGCTTCAGCATACCAAGACATTTTGGACAATTCCATGCTCCCAACTTTGTGGGAACAGTTTGGAGCTGGCCCCTTCCTCTTCCAACATGACTGTGCACCAGTGCACAAAGCAAGGTCCATAAAGACATGGATGACAGAGTCTGGTGTGGATGAACTTGACTGGCCTGCACAGAGTCCTGACCTCAACCCGATAGAACACCTTTGGGATGAATTAGAGCGGAGACTGAGAGCCAGGCCTTCTCGTCCAACATCAGTGTGCGACCTCACAAATGCGCTTCTGGAAGAATGGTCAAAAATTCCCATAAACACACTCCTAAACCTTGTGGACAGCCTTCCCAGAAGAGTTGAAGCTGTTCTAGCTGCAAAGGGTGGACCGACGTCATATTGAACCCTATGGATTAGGAACGGGATGTCACTTAAGCTCATATGTGAGTCAAGGCAGGTGAGCAAATACTTTTGGCAATATAGTGTATATCCCTTATAGATCCAACCCCAAAGCTACCATCAACTAGTAAAGTAAGTTGTGTTATTAATTATTGTATCTATAATACAATGCCTCATCAGGCAGGTGAGCAATTTAGAAAATATTTCCTGACAATTAAGTGACAACCTCCTGACTTGGTAATATTGATCAAAATGACTAAATGTGTTAATAATTTCCCTTGGCACTTATTAATAGTTAGCCACACTAAACCAAAGCGATCGTTGCTCAATAATGTACTAATTGGACTTTAGATATTAAGGTGGTGTTTTAATGGATAAAACAAAAACATTTTTAATCTCTTTTTAATTTTCATTGTATATATAATAATGCACTAGTATTTATGATGCTATACTTACATGTAAGAGCCAGCTGGTTCTGAAACAAAAACACAGGAAATGTGCTGTAATCAAAGGTTCAAACTGCTAACTGTAATATAGACATCATTCCCCCGCTGATTATCATTAGGTCAGCGTTTTTTATTGTTAGATTATATATAAAATAGAGCATTACCTTCGCCGGAAACCTCATAGCTGTGGTTATCCTGTCCGAGTTTCTTGATGCTTTGTAGTCTTACGGATCCCGCTGGCATGGCGGCACTATCAGTTTGGGTTGACTCCAAATGTAAGGGATTGTCAGGGATGTTCAGATCTGGAGGCTTTCCTATCCACGATTAGAAATGGATCATTTGTCCAGGTCAGTAGAAGCTCCACGGTCCGGTTGGTTGATGCACAGCTTCTGGAAGGTGGTTGCAGTTGTGACAGAGTGTCAGGTGGGTACAGGTAGACACTCTTTGCACGTTGGCAGCAGAGTCACGTGGTGTTATTTGGGCTTGGTTGGAACTTGGGGTCAGATTGCTTTGTTTGAAGGTAAGTGTCCTATCGGTTCCTCTACTGGAAAGGCCAGTGACCTCGCACAGCAAACATTCCCCCTGCTGAAGCCCTTCACTCTTTCTGTGTATTTGCTAAATGTGGGCATGTGGGTTCATAAAAATCATAGCTTTAAATGATCATTATCTACTTCCTTATGAGAAATACAGTCTGGTAACGAATTAAATAATATAACAAGCTTTAATATTTCAACTGACATGTGCATAACAACGCTGACTGAATAATGCACGTCAATACTGTTAGAACCTGCTTAGGCCCAGAGGTCATTAAAGGTAAAAGTATCAGCAAATCCACGTAGCAGTTCAAGAGCAATTCTTCAAAGAGAAGGTTTAAAAGTCTCCAAGATCAATAACAACTCTGGTTCTTCTAGTACCAGAATTATTGAAATTGGACAGAAAAAAATGTCACTGATAATAAATAGGAGTGCTGATTGTAGTGAGGATAATAACAGTTTTTCTGGATGGTATTCAAAGCCATAATTATCTATTGATTTGATATATTTGACCTCAATTACATGTTTTAACTTGCTGTAAGCCTAAATAATCTAAATTAGCTCACATAAACATCTGTCATTTCATCTCATCAGGGCCTAGTTTTATACTTTGGACTGAAATACTACTATTTTTTCCTACTTTTCTGTTGAGTTTTGTTTTAAATTGAGCTTTACTGCGATTTGAAAAAAAAGCACATTAAAAATAAAGTGTTTAAGACAAGAAGAAGGAGATTCTGTAAACGCCGTAGTCGTATTCTGTGATTCATCTTAGCACCGCTGGAGTTTTATGGTATGAGCAGCCATTGCTTATAAGATAATGCAGTAAATTTAACTAACAGCTCACAGATAGTGTCAGCAAGAAGTAGCTAAATTTAGTTGGTGGGTGTAAAGAAAATGAATATTCCAGTTTGTTTATGATATCTGGCTGTTTATTTAAACTGGCACATTATTTATTTATATTTTTTATTACAATAGAACAATGTCACCTAATGACTGTCTGGCTAAGAATGTTAAAAATATGGTTGCACGAGTTTATGAGTTAAAACAAGCAGTTTCCCCCTTTAATTCTGCTCCTTGTTGGTACAATGTGTTAACAGAGCCGCCATCTTTGTACTCTCCCTTCCTAGAGATGTTATTTTTGTACACTGTCTTGATTCTTCCTTCCCATTTTAAGCTATCTTGGATGAATGTTTGACTGTTTATCTGTTTTTCTTTTATGGAAGAAAACAGAGAGGGACCCGTTTACCCACCTTCACCTGTTCTGAAGGTTAGCCCAGTGCAATTGGCTCTTAGACTGTCTCAAAGACAGAGTCCTCAGTCAGTCCGGGGCGGACAGAACACCTTTGATGTCATCAGTCTATGCACAGGCTCCCCTCAGGGCTGCGTCCTGAGCCCCCTGCTGTTCACCCTGATGACACATGACTGCGTCCTCAGGTTCACCACCAATCACATCGTGAAGTTTGCAGACGACAACACAGTGGTGGGCCTTATCAGAGACGACAACGACCTGGACTACAGAGAGGAGGTGGAGCAGCTGGTGAACTGGTGCAGAGATAACAACCTAATCCTGAAGGTGGAGAAGATGAAGGAGATCATCGTTGACTTCAGGGAAAACCGTCCTAACCACGCTCCACTGGTCACTCTCACCTGGACTGAAAAAAAAAAAAAAATCACTGATAAAAAGGACATAGAGGCGCATATACTTCCTGCAGAGGATGAGGAGAGCCCACCTGCCCCCACCCATCCTCCACACCTTCTACAGAAGCACCATAGAGAGCGTTCTGACCAGCTGTCTCACTGTGTGGTGTGGAGGCTGCAGCGCCTCAGACTAGAAGAAGGTGAGGAGAGTAGTAAGAACAGCAGAGAGGATCATCAGGGCTCCTCTTCCCTCCATAAAAGACATTTCATCCCAGCGATGCGTGTCCAGAGCCCATAACATCATAAATGACCCTTCACACCCCCACCATGGACTGTTCCCCCTGCTGCCCTCTGGGAAAAGGCTTCACAGCATTCAATGCAGGTACAGCAGATTCCAGAACAGGTTCTTCCCCACCGCCATTAGACTGCTGAATGTTGAAAAAACTCTAAATCATGTCACAGACATCAAACTGACCATATCAATGCATTTTTTTTTCTCCCACAAAGTTTCCATTTTATCACTGCTGCACTTTAAGAAATGGAAGAGTCATGAGAGCTGCACAAAACGAAATTTCATTTTGTATGTACAAAATGACAATAAAAGTTGTCTAAGTCTAAGTAATTGTACCATCTGGATCGCTGACATAAACAAATTATCCATCAAAAGGCTCTTAAAATTCTGAGAGCTGGAAAAGGCATAAAAGTCTGACTAATTAAGTTTATGAAGACTATTCATGCTTTTTTGGGATTGTGTTTCCCCCTAAAACAAGATGGCAGCCACATTTCCCTACTTGAGTTAATATAACGGGTTTTAGCTAATAGGTAAGATAAAATTAGTAGGAAGCTTTTCCCTTTAAAGTTTTTTTTAAAAAATCCATTAGACATTGTTTCCAAGGTTTGAAGACGTTTCGCTTCCCCTCCAGGAAGCTTTCTCAATTCAAAATGTCTGGATTCGCATTGAGTTTGAGGCTTTATAAAGAAAAGGCCTTGTATTGCTTGGAAACATGTAAATTGAAACTGACGAACGGGTCGTTTGGTTCCATTGTTAGCCTGTAATATCTGAAACCTGTCTATGATTCTGAAAGGTCGGTCGTTAAAGGGGAGGATTGTACTAGGAGTCTTGTTTCCTCTATTTTTAAACTTCAATTAATGGTCCTAATTGATCAATAATGTCATGAGCAGACTTTTTAACCAACAAAAAAATTTTTTTTTCTTGGAGACCGACATTTCACAGCATGAGAGCTATCCAGCCCCTGCATCTCACATCAATAGGACTATTGTAGGAGGAGAGGGGAACAATCCTGACTATCTATAGTCCGAGAAAGAGAGAAGTGACTCTAGTTTTCAGCCTGGTGCCTCATCAGATTGAGATGGGGAACCAGTGATGAGGATGAAGAAAACACTATTTCTGAAGGGCCAGTCAGAGCATGATAGCAGAAGCAGCGAATGTTTCACTGATAGCTTTGGTAAAAAGAAGAGGAGGAGGTTGCAGGGTAAAAAGAAAAAAAGCAAAAAAGCTGTGCACGTTATTATAGAAGAGAAGATAACAATGTAACCCTCAGAGTATATATGTGTTGCTATTTTCCTTCTCAGCAGTTGGGGAAAATTGAATTTGAACTTCATCCAACTGCTTTACTATTGAACCTGATGAGCTAATGAATCCACTTCCCCTTAATACTTCTCTAAACTATTTGATCAGGACCTCACTGAGAACATAGCTCACTAAACAATTAGGTTATTAGATGCCAAATTAAAGCATTGATTCTACTGGAGCTCGCCCTGGGTGTGGTGAAAAAGGCCACCAGTGGAGAGTTAATGGTGAACCAATAGCAGGTTTGACCGGATGTCTGATGTAACGCCACTGAAGAAATTCAAATGTTTGTCCGTTAATCATCCGTATTTGTCATTGTAACTTCGTACATTCCAATGAAACATGAGGTGTTCGTTAACCCATCCATTGGGGAGTCGTTAAGGGTCCCAGTCTGTTGGAGTCAAACCAGGAAGATCTATTTTAGGAATAAATGTTTACTGTAATTCAAAACCATTTTCCAATTAATAAAATACCAAGAAAAGCTCAAAGTCTGAGGCGGTATCTACCCTTTGAACCTTTATTATCTTTGTGTGAGCAGGTGTGGCTTTGTGTATGACCGCTTGGATTGCACTGGGAAGTCTACACTGTGTGCAGAATTATTAGGCATATGAGTATTTCGACCACATCATCCTTTTCAGACATGTTGTCCAAGCTGTATAGGCTTGAAAGCCAACTACAATTAAGTAAATCAGGTGGTGTGCATCTCTTTAATGAGGGGTGTGGCCTAATGACATCAACACCCTATATAAGGTGTGTTTAATTATTAGGCAACTTCCTTCCCTTTGGCAAAATGGGTCAGGAAAGGGATTTGACAGACTTTGTCAAAAATTGTCGGATGTTTGGAAATTTCCAATCAAGCGGTTCATGGCGAATAGCCAACAGGGGCGCAAGACAGTGTTGCCAACTCCTCAGTAAGGAAAGTAGCTATTGGCTGTGCTATAAGTCGCTAGAAGTCACTGAATGACGTCATTGCATAATTTGCATAATCTAAAAAAAGTCGCTAGATTTGTCGCCAGTCACTTTTTTTGAAAAAGAGTCGCTGGAGGGGTCTGAAAAGTCACTAAATATAGCGACAAAGTCACTGAGTTGGCAACACTGGCGCAAGAAGCATGTTGAAAAAAGAAGATGTAAAATAACTCCCCATGAATTGAGGAGGATCAAGCGTGAAGCTGCCAGGGAGCCATTAGCCACCTGTTGTTCCATACTTCAGAGCTGCAACATGTCTGGAGCGCCGAGACGCACAAGGTGCTCAATACTCAGGGACCTGGCCAAGGTAGGGAAAGCCGAAAAACGGCCACCTTTGAACAAGACACACAAGACAAAACGTCAAGATTGGCCAAGAAATATCTGAAGACTGATTTCTCCAAGGTGTTTTGGTCTGATGAAATGAGAGTGAGTCTTGATGGGCCAGATAGATGGGCACCAGGCTGGATCAGTAAAGGGAAGCGAGTTCCTTATCGATTCAGACGCCAACAAGGTGGAGGTGTGGTACTGGTATGGGCTGGTATCATCAAAGATGAGCTTGTGCGACCTTTTTGGGTTGATGACAGAGTCAAGATCAACTCCCAGTTTCTGGATGACACCTTCTTCAAACAGCGGTACAAGAAGAAGTCGCCATCATTCAAGAAAAACCTGATATTCATGCAGGACAATCTGCGAAGGATTGTCAACCTGTCCA